GCCTTCTCTTAGTTTTCATGTCTTATGATTAAGGTCAATGGAAAACTATACCAATCAATTCAGGCAGGATCGATGATGTGTGGGATGAAGGTGTGGGTCACCCTACCAAGCAACAAACCAAGACCAGTGGAGATGTTTGCTTAGGGCAAAGTGAATATAGACTGGGTAGTGGAAGAAGGTACTTTTGAATGAATACCAACTATGACCATGTGACCAGCTGCAGAAATGAGGACTGTAACTGTTTTAAGTATCTCTTCCTTATTTTGTTATGAAAATATTTGTGTGTATGTATGTGGCAAGTATCTTTGTTCTCTTCCCTCCTTTATCTTCTTTTTTAAACTATAACATAAGATGTGTTCATTTAAAATCATAATACAGGCAGTTTTTGATTACAAACCTCTGCCTTATGGACAACACCTACTTGCCCTTTAATGCTATATAAATTTGCCCTCACTTTGAAACAAGTGAACCAACCTCTACTCACAACAAATTCTTCATCACAATCACCTTCACTTGCTGCACGTGCAGCTTTTAAACCATTGAAAAAGCTTTGAGCCTTTTGTTGTACTGAAGTAAAGCTAAATAAGAACTATATGCACCTGTTCAGATTTACTGACAAATTCCACTGAAAGATTTAAAGACACAAACGCAGCTCTTGCCCCTAACCTGGGGACTGCCTATATACACGTTATAGGATATCAAGAAACACACTAACATCACCCAAAGACTGCATCATCTCTAGGGAAAGGGTTAGTGCATTTTCCTTTGTAAGCAGGATAGATATATCATGTTTGGTGGAAATATGAGTTTGTTATTGTTTTTATTTGAAAATTAAGTACAGTTTAATGAGCCATGCATGAGTGTCAAGATGCTTAGTCAAACAATGGTCTAGATGTTGTTATAAAATATTTAAATGTGATTAGCACTTAAATCACTTGGCCTTACCCTTCATAGTGTGGATTAGTCCTTACCCAATCAGTTGAAGGCCTTAAAAGCAAAACCAGGAAGTTTCTCAAGGGAAGATTCTGCCAGAATTCCTTTCCCTCCCTCTCTTCCCCACACTATCTGACCTACCAACTTGGGACACAAGACTGCTGGGTTTCCAGCCTGTCACCTGACCTATAGATTTTACACTTGTCAGCCGCCACAACAGCTTGGGCCAGTTCCTCAAAATCAATCAGTTTCTCTCAGAGACAAGCTCATTCTCACTCTCCCTCATCTTCTTTGTCTCTTTCTCTATGTATTTGTTACTAGTTCTGTTCTCTGGAGAACTCTAAGACATTACCAAAAGAATTCCTTAAGAGCTAATATAGATAAACAGCAAAAATGAAAATGAATAAACATATTAGTGAACACAAATACAAGACCACCACCAAAAAAAAAAAACAAAAAAACTTGCTGCCACTGAGTCGATTCCACCTCACAATGATCCCTTTGGGTTTCCGAGGTGGTAAATCTTTACAAAAGTAGATTGCCTACTCTTATTCCCACTGAGTCGTTGGTGGGTTTGAATTGCCAAACTTTGGGTTAGCAATCAAGTGCCTTAGGGATTACACCACCAGAGCTCTGAAATATAAGAACAGTAGGGTTTACTCAAGAAGCTTACTTTGATGCTTACCATGTGCCAAAAGCTACACTTGGTTCTGTATCTAGATTTACCTGATGCTATCTGCCTCAATGTAATACTCTTACTTCCTTTTTCCTACTCCCCGCTCAAAACAATTTTTTAAATTGTCACAATTTATACTATAATCAGGCAACGGTGACTAATTCTAGTGACTCAATCTTTCCACAATACCTTTTACCAGGATCTTAAACATTTTGTTTTCCTAATTGTCAGGGATAGCAATGAATTATTACACAATAATTCATTGGCACAGGTAAAGCTAATTCAATAAGCAAAAATATTATTTTGGGAAAATATGCAGATTAGGCAAATAATATTATAGATGTAGAGAAACTAAAGAAAATAATTACCTTCTTGTATGTTGGCTACGTTGTTGTTCGATGCCATCGAATCAGTTCTGACTCATCATGACCCAATACAACAGAATGAAACGTTGCCTAGTCCTGTGACATCCTCATAACCATTGCTGTTTTTGCCTACTGTTGCAGCCATTATGTCAACCCATCTTGTAGAGGGTCTTCCTCTTTTTTGCTAACTCTCTACTTGGTGGCTTAGCTGTAGAATTTTATATTTGTATGATCTTCTTTTTGAAGCTCTTATTTTTAATCCATTACCTTATTCATTCCTCTATAATTTCTGATTATCAATATTAAAAATTAACTATAAAATGTAACATATGCCATAAAATGAAAAAGAAAATACAACTCTGTTGCCATTTCTGTATTCAGAAAAATAATCATCAACATCTTGGTATATACCCTTCCAGTCTTTTTTCTATAAATGTATTATCTTTTGTAGCCCCTTACCTTGTCTATTAACTTTCTGTGAACTCCCTACATTACTTTATTTATTCATATGGACTCACCTCACGATTTCCAGGCATTTTTTTTGTGAGATTTAGACTCCTCTAGACAAAAACAACTTGGATGTTTCATAGTCACTTCAAACTGTACATCTCCAAACACAAATTCATTATCATCTTCTTTTTTCAGGTCCTAGTTTGTCATTTCTTGACTCTGCCCTTTTTTCTCTTCACACATTACATTGGTCACTAAATGCTGCTATTTCTATGAGGAATCTCCCCCCTCAATATGCCCTTTCTCCCTCACCTACTCCTGCTTTGGTTCAGTCCTGTACCCGAGAGCTCTGCCCTACTCTGTGACCAGCGCTGCCTGCCTTCACACTCAGCCCTCTCACATCTACTTCCACTGCCTTAGATTCATCATTTTTAAATCAAACTCCCCTAACAGCTCCCTATGGACTATACAATAAAGTTCAAATCTTTAGGGAGATGACAACATCCTCCTCAATTTAGTATTTCCTTTTCTCCCCAGACTAGAGCCCTGGAAAGAGGTCATGAACGGACTACTCTGATTTGATGTCTGATGCTCCACCTAGTGGTAGATACAATGACCCAGGAAGGCGATCTGATTCACCAGATCAGATCCTATGAGATCAAGTAAACCTGCCAAGAGGTTTGTTAGCTACATTAATATGTGGAAAGGACCATGCAGCCCTGGAATCCAATGGCCCACTTAATGGATTTATCTATGCACTGCATTCTCCTGAGGCAATGTCCTAAACCAGCTGTTATCACTATCGCTATGGACTGGAAGCTAGGGTGGCACAGTGGTTAAAGCATATGGCTGCTAACCAAAAGGTGAGCAGCTTGAACTCACCAACCGTTCCACAGAAAAAAGATGAGGTAGTCTGCTTCCATGAAGATTTACAGCTTTGGAAACCCTATGGGGCACTTCTGTCCTATAGGATCACTATGAGTCAGAATTGGCTCAATAACAGTGAGTTTGGTTTTGGTTATGCACTAGGGAGAAATGGGAAGGAATACGTTAATGGGTAAGGGCTTTTACTTTGGAATTATGGAAATGTTTTGGAACTAGATATGGTGGTTGCACTACAACAAATGACACTGAACTGTTCAGTTTAAAAATGGTTAATGTTATCTAAGTGAATCTCACCACAATAAATTATTTCTTTAATTCACGAAGCTATGTGATATATATTAATCGTATTAACTCATGTAATGGGCTCAGGTATAAAACAAGGATTATGAGGCTGGCATAGGATCTGGCAGTATTTTGTTCTGTTGTACATAGGGTCGCTATGAGTCGAAGCTAACTCAATGGCACCTAAAAACAACAACAACATTGACTGGCTCGATTATTTCAAAGTAAGAGCAAATTTACACAACATTAAAAAGCATGTAGGAGTTATTCCTAAATCAGATGTTCATGATCCAGAGACTCCTTGTACCATGCACTGCCAGAAGAATGAGCAAACCCATCTTGGAAGAGGTACACCCAGAACACTTCATAGAAGCAAGGATGGTGAGACTTCATCTCATGCACTTTGGACATGTTATCAGGAGAGACCAATCCCTGGAGAAAGGCATCATGCTTGGTAAAGCAACCAAAAACCAAAGTCAGTGCCATCGAGTCAATTCCAACACATAGCAACTCCTTCTCAGGTTTCTGAGGTGGTATCACTATGGAAGTAGATTGCCCAATCTTCCTTCTGAGGAGTGGCTGGTGGGTTTGAACCGCCAGCCTTCTGGTCAGCAGTCAAATACCTCAGGCACTGTGCCACCAGAGCTCCCAGCTTAGTAAAGTAGAAGGTCAGCAAAAAAGAGGAAAACCTCAGTGAGATGGATTGAAACAGTAGCTGCAACAATAGTTTCAAACACAGGAATGATTATGAGGATGGCACAAGGCTGGGCAACATTTTGTTCTATTGTACACAGGGTCACTATGAGTTGGAATCAACTCAGTGGGCAGCTAACAACAACAGCTCTTTCTTTGCAGTCCTTTCTGAACACACTCCAGGCTTGTCAGTGATGGGAACTGTAAGTATGAGACAGATGAGCCCAGTGAAGCATGATTATCCCCTCCACCATTTTAGATATGGCAGTTGTAGTAACACACAGAATGCAATGGTTATTGTGAGAAACTACACAACGCTGTGAATTCATTTTAAGATTCCACTTCATTAAAACTCCTAAGTTTATTTTTCTAACTGTTAGATGCTAGTTAGAAAGTGTTCTTTTTTCTATTGCCTCGCTGATGCCAGAAAGCATAAGGAAAGTGATCATTCATTTGACAAAACGTTTATGAGCACACAGGATATATGCTAGGTACTGTGCTCGATGTTGAGAACAGCGTTAAACTAGACACACCAATGCATTTATTCCATTGTCATCGCATTTATGTACAAGATTGTGTACACAAAGCAAGTGCCTGAGATACATAGTAGTTATTCAAAAAACAGCTGCTATTACTATGATTTACAAATTATGATATTTTAAAAAATCATTTGGTTTTAAGATAAAAATGTTTTAGTTATTGCCACAAATACTTACCAATACTATAGTATCTCTTTAATTCTGTACGTCTGATCTCCTTTAACTGATTATTTTTTCTCTTTTTTTTTTCATCCTCCTGTTCCACAGAGACATTGCACTTATCTTGTTCTAAAATGATTTTATTAGCATCTTCTTTTGCAGTATGACTCTTTGTACCCGTAGCTGAGGCTGTCTCTGCATTTTGTTTGGCTTGTTTTTTCTTTTTCAGTCTAGGAATGAAGGGGAAAAAGGGAAAAATAAAAACAGAAAAATGATTTACTAGTAGGAATTATATTTCATGCTGTTTGGCTTTTAGAAACTATCTGATACAGAAAACACTTTCCTTATGTTGTTGTAAATTATACTTTCCTACTATTTATTTCTTTCCTTATTACTGAAAAGGTATTAAGTTGAGATCTGTGTTTTTCCCTCAATTCTCTCAGAAAAGTGTTGGGAAATGCTCTAGGCCTGAAGAAAAATTAGGTTATTCCACATTGAGTATTTCCTATCGAGATATAAAGCTACCCTACTATAATCTCATGTTTGCTGTGTTATATGTATGTGTTTTTTAAAAAGTCCTTCTGATTTTCAGTGGTGCATTTGGACTGGTACACTGGACAAGCATATTTGTGAAAAACATCCATTATAATTGACTCACACTGTTTGGTAAGGTATGAACTGGTTCGAGTTCGAGTAATTCTTTTTGCTTGTACTTAAGAGTACTAAACAAAGGTCTGCATTTTCTGAGATAGAAAATGCCATGACAACATGTAATTATCAGTGTGATCACTGATATAATAATGGATACATGTTAACATATTTGATGCTTTAAATTCTTTACTCTTAAGTCAAAAACATGTAAGAGATGAAGTTCATCACAATCCAATTAAATCCAACAACTTATAATATTTTTCAATTGTTGTATCACTCCTAATTGCTACTTCTAAGAATGTTTTTGCATTTCCAGAATGTAACCCTTTTGAGAATAGGGACCTTGGCTTCCAACATAAGTGCCAATCTCTTCTTCCATAGAAGGTACATAGTAATTTTTGTTTTTTAATTAGATCTTTCCTTTCTCCTTCTACCCAGGCACAGTCAGTATTCTCTTAGCCACTTCTACTTTCTTTGTCCTCTTGAGAGCCCCACCTGTACAATATGGGTAATGAATAAAAACAATGTTTAGGGAGGAAAATAAAATAACTGATAACTGCAGGATAAATATGCAACCTAAACCTTGATGTTACACTGTTTTGCTCATCAATTTAACAGAATGAAGAAGTCCCAACTGAGGCTCTGCCCTTAACAAAACTTGACTTGAGACTATGGGCTTAATTTTTTGAGCCTCAATTTTTTCATATATTCAATGGTGATAATTATACTTCCTTAGCTACCTAACAGTGTCTTTTATTAAGATCAGTTGTGATGATATATGTCAACATTTAACACAAAATGAATAGAAACAGAAATAGTAAAATATCCCCTAATATAATCTATGATGACATGAGAACCAAGAGTGATAAGAAATGAAACACTTTCAGCTTTTGGGATAAAGGTTCCATATTACAATATGATATTTCAACCAGGATGTTGTTCATTCACTGTTCATTCACTGTTAGTAGCAGCTAAGTTCTTAGATATTTATTGGCTAATAAACGTGTACATGGCCTACAAAATAGGTGGAGCTGGAAAAAAAGAGAGATGAATACATGTTCCATCTCTTAGCTTAACTATCTTTTCTTTTATGTTGTTGTGAGGTACCATCAAGTTGATTCTGACTGATAGGAACCCTACATATAACAGAAAGAAACACTACCCAGTCCCGTGCCATCCTCACAATCATTGCTACGTTTGAGCCACTGATGCAACTACTGTGTCATTACATCTCTTTGAGGGCCTTCCTCTTTTTCACTGACCCTCCACCAAGCACGATGTCCTTCAGGGGCCAGTCCCTCCTAATAACATGTCCAAAGTACATGAGACCAAGTCTCATCATCTTGGCTTCTAAGAAGCTTTCTGGCTGTACTTCTTCTAAGACCAATTTGTTCATTCTTCTGGGAGTCCAGAGTAGGTTCTATATTCTTTATCAACACCCTAGTTCAAAGGCACAGATTCTTCTTCAATCTTCCTTATTCACTGTCCAGCTTTAAAATGCATGAGAGATAACTGAAAACAAATGCATATGAGGTGATTGAAAATATCATGGCATTGGTCAGGTACAACTTAGTCCTCCAAGTGACATCTTATTTATTTATTTTTAATAACACTTTAAAGAGGTCTTTTGTAGCAGATTTGCCCAATGCAATACACCATTTGCTTTCCTGACTGCTGCTTCAATGGGTGTTGATTGTGGATCCAAGCAAAATGAAAGCCTGCTCTACTTCAATCTTTTCTCCATTGATCATGATGTTGTTTACTGGTTCTTTTGTGAGGATTTTTGTTTTCCTTATGTTGAGGTGTAATCCATACCGAGGGCTGAAGTATGGGTCTTGTAGTATTTGATCTCGTTACATAACAAAACAAAAGCACAAACTAAACAAAGTAGAAGACTCATAAAAAGGAATATATTTAGTGAACATGTTTTTATTTTCTCTCTTCAGATATTAACTCACTTCCTGGTACAAGAGTAGGTGGCTTTCTTCAAAGCTGAGTCAGATAACACGTGTAATAAAACGATTTCTCTCCCTATCAAAATCAAAGTATCCTGGGCACAACATAGTGATCATCTCTCTGCTTAGTAAGTCTGACTATGCAAAGAGCTGATCTCTGTATCCAGAGGTGGCAGTAGGTGTGCTGATCTTGTTGTTCTGATATGCTGGCTACGATGGCTGGTCAAAAACATACTTGAGATGAACCATATTGTCCTCTTCCAAAAACAATTCCTCCTAGAAGGAAAGAAAACTCAACTAAACTCACTGCTGTCGAGTAGATGCCTACTTATAGCAACCCCTCCTTGGGTTTCTGAGGTGTTAACTCTATGGAAGTAGATTGCCCAACCTTCCTTCTAAAGACTGGCTGGTGGGTTTGAACCACCAGCTTAAGGAAAGAAAAGAGGTATTAAAAATGAGTTCTATGCAGCCTGAAATATATGCTTCTTACTCTTCAGAATTTGCCCTGTTGATTTAAATGTCCTCATTTCATTGTCTTTCCGATAATTAAATTCATTCAGATCTAGGGTATGTATTTCGATGAACAGCAACATTGTTTGGAGACATCATGTTAGAAATTAATGTGCACACATGGAAATAACAAAACGGGACACTTTGTTTTATTCATTTCCTCCCTTTCCACACATAAGCCATCACTGTCAACACATATGGCCATAGTTGTTACTTCAGAAAAAACTGCTGGAGAATATCAGTATCAAATTAGTTTAACAGGAAAGAGACTAATATTTACATCATTTGACACTCAACTCCATCTTTTGTTTTGAGTACTCATGAAAATTTGTTTCTCTGAAGGGTATCAATATAACTGGAATGTTCTGATCTTGAAAACGGAAATCAGATGTGTTTCTGGAAGCCCACTCTAAAATCATTCTTTCAAAGAAGGAAAATATATTTTGAGCACTTTTTAAAAATTTTTTTACTGCGATTTGGGTGAAAATTTACAGAGCAATTTCATTTTCTATACAGCAGTTCATACGCATGACATTTTTGTCTCATGATATTGACTGCAATTTCCCACAAAGTTAACAGCTCTCTTCCCACTTTCTCCACACAGTTACCTCCTCCCTGTGTCCTTCCCTCCCATGTACTCCTTCCTGCTTGAGCAGTCTCCCTGTACATATACTACCCTTCTGTTCTCCCATGACTGATCTCTCCATGGAGTGTATCTACCTGATGTAAATGTTCAGCCCATATGCTGGTCTTTTATTTGGCTGGAAGCCACAGGAGTTCAATTCCAGACCTAAAGGGCAGTTAGGCGCCATAGTCTCAGGGGTTTCACCAGGCTCCATCAGACCAGCAAGCCTATTCTTTTTTTTCTTTTATAATTTTGAGTTTTGTTCCACATTGTTCTCCCACTCTATCCAGGATCTCCTACAGAGATCCCCCTCTGAGTGGTTGACAGTGGTAGCCAGACACCATCTAGTTCTGGTCTCATAGTCATATAGACTGAGGATCGCATGGGGTACCAGTTGCTTGGACTAATTGTTCCATGCAGCTTTGGTTCTTCATTCTTCTTTGCTCTGGATGAGCAGACACTCATCGTTGCATCTAGATGGGCGCTTGCAAGCTTTTAAGATCCCAGTCACTACTTACCAAAATAGCATGTGGAACAATGTTTTTTTGTAGTATGTTATGCTAATTTGGCTTGATGTCCTCTGGGACCATCGTGCTGAGCCCACAGGTCTACTAATTGCTACCTCTGGGTAGCTGGCTGTAGCCAAGAAATCACCACAACCTTTACCCTTGTCAACTCTATTATATAACTGAACATTCTTATAGAACATACAAATACACTTGTAGAAACATCGTCTGACAACCCTATACATGGTCATGGGCATACTCCTCCCTGCACAGACATACCTAATACTTCAGCCTGTTCACCCTTCTAACCACTTGTAGATCAATGTTTACTATCACTGACAACACAGTACTGTGCAAAAGGGTTCATCTTCGTTGTCTATATCTCCCACGTACCTCTCTCTGTCTTCCTTTTCCTCAGCGACACTGTGTTGATCACTCATATTTGGTGCATTGCCCTTCCCCTCACTCAAATCAATACTTGTCTCTACCTATCTAACAGTGTTCCCTCTCCTCCCCTCTCACCCCTGGTAACCAACAAAGAAAATTTCCTTCCATGTATGAACCTTTCCTTGCCTTTTCACAATAGCAGACTAATACAATATTTGTCCTTCTGTGATTGACTTATTTCACTCAGCATCATGTCCTCCAAGTTCATTCATGTTGTGGTGTTTTACAGATTCTACATTGTTCTTTAGGGTTGTATAATATTCCGTTGTGTGTTTGTACCATAGTTTGGTTATCCATTCCTCTGTTGATAGGCATGTAGGTTGTTTCCATCTTTTTGCTTTTGTAAATAGTTTGAGCACCTTTATTAACGAGGAATAACTGCCAGTGATGAACGTGGTATAACTTTTAAGGGGGAATAACTGCCAGGGATGAATGTGGTATAGCTAATATTCTTCAATCGTTTATTTTGGGGCTTTATCTGTCAGATCTTTCTTTTGCTCTTCAAGTCAATATCTATCATGTTAAGACATTCTCACAGTAGGGTTTTATTATCATTAAATTAAGGTTAATTGAAAAAGAAAAGGTCATGCAACAAAATAAAGTCTCCTTATTTTACCTCAACGTTTTCAAAGACACTGAAAGTATACTTATTTAAATTGTTAACTAAGAGATACTTGGCAAATCATGTTGAACAGATAAATGACTGAAACTAATGACATTTAATATTTGATGCTATGTGTACAAATAAAAACTTTATTTATGTTGCATGTGTCTTCCTTTAAAATAAGTAACAAATATACAAATATACAAGTGTTTATTATTCAACCACCTCATATTACTGTAATTAAGTCTTCTCAATTCTATTTCCTAAATCTTTCTCTCTTAAATTCACCTTCTTTTGTTGGTCTCTGTTGCTATTGAATCATTTCAGGCTTCTATAATCTCTCATTTTGTTTGTTCATTTTGGGGATATTTTAGATAATATTATTTATTAATCCTTGTTTTATTATGAAAGTAATACAAGCTCATACTAGGATTTTTGAAAATGCAGAAAAGCAAAAAGAATAAAATGCAATTATGATAGTAAGCAGCAGTCATTAATTTGGGAAATAATGTGACAGCCAGAAGATAAGGGAAAAGACACTATTCAGACCTATCCCAAGGACAGAAGATTGAGGCAAACTAAACCCACTGCCATCAAGTCAATTCCAACTCAGAGACCCTGATTCATAGCGACCTTACAGAACAGCATATTACCGTTCCATAGGGTTTCAAAGATTCTAAATCTTTACAAAAGCAGAGTGCCACATACTTCTCCCATGAAGCAGCTGGTGGGTTTGAACCGCCAACTTTTCAATTAGCCAGCGAGCACTTTAATCATTGCACCACCAGGGCACCTTGAAGACTGAGGCAGTGTGACTCAAAACCATGATTCTCAGCTTCCTATTTATACCTTCCCATGATGGTGGCATAGGAGCTCTGGTAGCATAGTGCCTAAGGCACTTGACTGCTAGCCAGAAGGTTGGTGGTTCAAACCCACCAGCCACTCCTCAGAAGGAAGGTTGGGCAATCTACTTCCGTAGTGATGCTGCCTCGGAAACCCAAGGAGGGGTCGCTATGAGTCGAAGTGGCTCAAGCTCCCATATAAATGACAAAGGTATTAAACTATAACTAACCATCACTTAGTCAACCCTGACTCATGGTGGTGCCATGTGGGTCAGAGTAAACTATATTATATAGGGTTTTCAATGACTGTTTTTTTCAGAGGTAGATTGCTAGGCATTTCTACTGCGTTTAAATTATAGGCACTCTGGTGGCATAGTGGTTAAAGCATTTGGCTGCTAACCAAAAGGTTAGTGGTTTGAATCTACCAGCCCTTCTGTAGGAGTAAGATGAGGCAGTCTGCTTCCTTAAAGGTTTACAGCCTTGGAAAACCTATGAGCCAGTTCTACTCTGTCCTTTAGGATCACTATGAGGAGCCTTCTTTAATAAATATTAAAATATAGTTTTATATGACTCTTTCCTTAATTCTACAATTTGGGGTCATGTGTTGCTGTAAAAATTCCTTAGTCATAAACACCTAGCATAGTGCTGTCCAATATGGTAGGCACTAGCCAGACATGTGTTGCTATTAAATTTAAAGTAAGTAAAAATGCAGTTGTACAGTTTCTACATTTTAAGACCTCAATAGACTCATGAGGTAGTGAACACTGTACTGGACAACTCACACGAGAATTTTTCTATCCCTACAGAATGTCTTATTGGACAGCTCTGATCTACAGACAGTTAAGTCTATTAGTAAGAATCCAAGGGCAGGAGGGAAGTAGATAGAAATCATGTAATACTTAAAACTTAGTAACTATATACATAGAATATGTCTAGAAGGGCACACAAGAAACTGACAAAGTAAGATTCCAGCAAAGTAAAGTTGGTGGTTAGGGAGAAAGAGAGAGTAGGAAAAATTACTTTTCATTTTGTTCTCTTCTGTATCTTTTGAATTTTATAGCATGTTAATAGCTATTTAAAAATAATAAACTTTTAAAAAGTAGTCTTTCCAGTCTCCTTACAAATTAAAGAATAATTTTAACACTTAAGTATTGTGAAATTTTAATAATTGAGTTTTATGTTTTCAAAAAATTATAATATTTGAAAGTGCTTTCTTCGAACAGCCACTACTACTGAGTTGACTGATGAACCAGCCACTGTGCTAAACATTTTATAAATTTTATCTTATCCTTACAAAAGCCCAGTGAGGCAAGCAATTTATCTTCATTTAACAGATAAGGAAAGGAAGGCTAAGTTAAAATTGGGACCATTCTCCCAGGCCACATAGTTAGGTTGTGGAGCTGGAATTCACAACCCTAGGTTTGAACCTTGCCAAAGGGCCTCCCAGGGCCATCCCTTCTTAAAGTGTTCTATGGCATACATTTATACCTTGATTTTAAAATCTACTGCATTTTGGAAACTCTATGAACGATTTGGGGGAAGAAATGGGCTTTAACAGTTAGTGCACTTACAGGAAGGAAAGATTTGGATTCTTTTCTTAGCTCTCTCGGTAATCAGCTCTATGATCTTCTTCGTAAATATGATAAACTTACCAGGACTTCAAAATTAAACAAAAGCAAGGGGCTGACATGATTTTCAAGGTCCCTTCAGGCCCTAAGTTTATACTTGGCTGAGAAGATTAGGAAACGTGCTAAAAGCTGTTTTCAGGTGTTTTTTTTTTTTTTTTTTGTTAATTTTAAATCCAAACAAAATCTTCCCAAGAGTCCTGTACTTTCCTTTGTTAACTTTCTCGTCTGATGTCTGATTACATCTTCCTTCCAGGGCAATGCTCCCAGAATTGGGAAAGTCCAGGGGCCAAGAAAGAACACCATTCATACACAAAGGATATAAAAGCCTAACAGAACTAGCATTGCCCTACAATTTGGGGCTAATAGCTCCATGAAAGAAGTAGAAAACCTCAAAATTGACCAACCATGAGGGCAACATAGTTCTCTTCAATATAATATTTCTTCTCAAAATTGCCGCTATAGGGAAATAAAAGTATTAACATTTTATTGATATATATATATCATACACATACACACACACACTTTAACCACTGTGCCACCAGGGCTTCTCTCTCTATATATATACATATATATAAAAAGGAGCCCTGGTGGCACAATGGTTAAAGTGCTTAGCTGCTAACCAAAAGTCCAGTGGTTCTAACCTAGCGGCTGCTCCGTGGGAGAAAAATGTGTCAGTCTGCTTCTGTAATAATTTATAGCCTTAAAAACCCTATGGGGCAGTTATACTCTGTCCTATAAGGTCACTATGAGTTGGAGTGGATGTAACAGCTTCAAGTTTGGTTTTTATTTATATGTATGTATATGTGTGTGTGTATATGTGTGTGTATGACCCCATTTTTGTGGGAAAAACAAACAGAAAATAAAGCAAAATTCACCAAAACAACTACACCTACTCATTACTTATTGACTATCTTGTCTGACAATAGTAAAACACCTACTGTCCAACTAGTTTGCACATTACCAAGTCGGCAGTCATAATGCCAATACCTCCTTCAAGGATGGTCTCTGGACAGGCTCCAGGAAGCTGGGCCACACTGCCCTCCATCTTACTCTGCCCCACGGCCTAGATGCCCGTGCCCTCCGTCCCCTCCTTCGGGCCACTGTGTCAGCTGTCACACTGGACTAGCCTCCTCCATGGCCACTGCCTCCACGTGGACCGTGGGCAGGCACTGAGCTAGTCAGTGTCTTTTCAGGGTTCCCAATTCCTATGCGACCTGAGGCCCTGCAGCTCTAAACTGCTGTCAGGTGGGAAGGGAGGGCAGACAGAGGTACAGGAGAGAGTGTTTGGAAGAAATGTGTCCAAGTTTAAAGATATTCCAAAGTGAGCTGAACTGGGCCTAAAGCCTCTGCCTGGTTCCCAGCACCCTGACAGGAAGCACAGAGGCTCAGGTGCCATACCAGGCCTAGAAGGCAGAGGGGGCTTCCATGTGAACTCTGGGCTTCCAGAGGTAGGCTTGGAGCCCTGGGGCACACAGTCTGGACTTAACCAGCTTTGTCTCCTCAAGACTTTTTCTCCCCAGAGGAATTATCCATAGCTGGAATCATCACAGTGATGACCCCATCAGTAAATCTTAGCTGTTATTATTTCTGTGTTTATATTTTCTAAATTAAAAAATCAAGACAAATGGATGATCTGAAAACAGGAAAAGAAAAAAAAATCCTTCATTTTTGCTTAATGTTGATTTTTGCATAACGACCTGGTCTTTGTCACCTAAACAGGTTGATAGGTGAGGGTATGCGTATATACATTTAGATGCATATGTATGTAGATTTACTGCATGTATGGGAATACGGTTGGTCTATACGTACGAGGAGAAAAGGGGGTAACTTTTATTTTACATTTATATAATTTGGTGTTGTTGAATTTTTCAAATAGTAATGATGTATTACTTTTGTAATTATGTTGTTGTTGTTATTTGCCATCAAGTCGGCCCCGACTCCTAGCGACCCCTCCTTGGGTTTCCGAGGCAGTTATCACTACGGAAGTAGGATTGCCCAACCTTTCTTCCAAGGAGTGGCTGGTGGGTTTGAACCGCCAGCCTCCTGGTTAGCAGTCAAGTGCCTTAGGCACTATGCTACCAGAGCTCCTTTATAAGACCAGTAAATTAAAAAAAAAAAAAATTAGTATCTGCAACTATGGCATCATTTTGCTAAATCACTTTCAATGAGTACAGCACAGTGAACTTCTTGACTTCCCACGTCCTTCTTTACCAAACAGAGTAGAGCTGGTCTCCTTCAGTGACTTCCTCTTGGTTCTTTCCCTATTTGGCTGCCACCAAGACTCTGTACTGTTCTTCAGAGTCTAGGCTGTTTTTCCTTTGTTACCTTTGTCACTTCCAGACTCAGGGAAATAGAGTACAGCAATGAAATGAAATCAACCCATGGACCAGAAACTTGTGCATTTGACTTAATCCTCTTTTGTCTCTTCTTAGGTATACATCCTTGGGCAGGTTGGTAAATCTAAGCCTCAAGTTCCTTGTCCATAAGGAGGAGATAATGGCTTCAGATAGCTTGTGGTGATGATTAAACTAAATAGTACACAGAAAGCTTACTTTTACTATTAAATATGATCTGTGCTTGTTCACAGTAAAAGCTCAAAAGTAAAAGTTATACCTTTGTTGAGTTGTTGCTGCTGTTAGTACTTGGAGATTCATAGGAACTCAAGTAAATGATATATAAAACAGTATGAAAGAACAACCCACCAGCCACTCCTCAGAAGGAAGGTTGGGCAATCTACTTCTGTAGTGATATCACCTCGGAAACCCAAGGAGAGGTTGCTATGAGTCAGGTCCAACTCAATGCAAATAACAACAACATGAAAGAACAAAGAAGGTGTTTGATAAACTTAGGATATTATTATAATTGTGTGTTGACCTTTATTTTTCTCACTGTACATGAATATTAATTTTAATTTGGTGTCAATGGGTAGTACAAACAGTTAAGAGCTCGGCTAATAACTGAAAGTTTGGTGATTCAAATCCATGCAGAGGAGCCTTGGAAGAAATGTCTAGTGATCTGTGTACTGTGACAATGGGTACAGCCACTGGAAATTCTGTACACAGTTCTACTCTGAAACACATGGGGTGCCATGAGATGGAATCAACTGGACGTTAACTGGATTGGTCTCTTTCTTCTTTTTTGGCTATGAATTAAGTCACCAGTATAAAGCTATTTATTTTTCTAGAAGAGTATAGTATCACTTCTTGTATTCTATTTCATTTTGCAATTTCACAAACAAGAGGGTCAGTTTTCAATCATACTTCCAATTGTGATGACGCTGAATAAAATTAAAATAAGCTGGAGAAGGAGATGATATAACAACAACTCACTTGATTAAAATTTTCTCTTGGCCCCATGATTAAATAAGAATGCATAATTTATGAGTAATCACTGAAAAACTCTGCAGATGTATCTGATTCCAGCACCAGCCACTGAAGTGTGGATTCTGTTTTTCATTTTGTCTAATTATGATAATGGGATTATTATTTCCCAAAGGAGTTCTCAGAGCAGGAATATTCTGGTTGCAAAGAACCAGTACAGTGAGAACAAGAGATCCTTTGGCTTTAGGTTCAACAACCAGCAATACATCCCCATACAGGTGAACATACATACACACACATACAATGGAATTTCCCTTGGCTTTAAGAAACAACCACTTTCTAATAAAGACCATTAAACAGAAAACCAATCAGAGGCAAATGATAAAAATCCAATTTTCCTCTTCTAGGATTTTCTTGGAGTCCTTGGCTAGTGCTAATGGTTCACACACTGAGGTCCTACCCAAAAGGTGGGAGGTTGACATCCACTCAAGGAGCCTTGGAAGAAAAGCCTGGCAGTCTACTTCTGAAAACTCAGCCACTGAGAACCCTGTGGAGCATGGTTCTCCTCCAACACACAAGGGGTCACCAAGAGTCAGGATCCCTAGATGACAATTGTTTTTTTAAGGATCTCCTCATGAGATTTAAACAGTAGTGGGGCCAACAGATCTTAGGGGACTCCTGCAGGTGCCAGGAATGACTGCAGACAAATTCTCACTTTTTAGAGGAGTCTTGGGGTTGGTTCATAATGGATACTTTGGAGAAACTTTTATGCAACTCCCAGTACCAGGATGACAATGGCACTGCCTGCAAAATGGATGCACACTGTGAAGAACGTTTGCCTTGCGTTTATGAAACAAGACAGGCTTTTGTTGCATATGTATGGGAGTCCATTTCTCTTTTCTAAAACTCAGGACTCTGAGACACAGCCTGAATAAGTTATAGGGAAACTGATGGCACAGACAAAGGTGATACATACCTCAGCTATAAACCAAGGAAGGGAACCAGAAAAGAAAATTTGTTCTAGGTAATACAGAATGGTGTAGTGATAAAAGTAATCAGCAAAGTCCAGTAAATATGGTATTTAGATGCTAAGAGTTTAACTGTTTATCAACCAAGAATAAACTCAAACCTAGCAACACAGAAGTTAATCAAGAGGTGGAGCCAAGACAGCAGTTTAGTCAGACACACCATAACATTCCTGTAGACAAAGACCTGAAAAAACAAGTGAAAGAGATGCAGACCACAATCCTGGAACCCTGAATGTCAAAAGAAAGGATAAAAAATTGAATCAAACACCAACTGGAAGATAAAACTGAATGAACAAAATAAGCAAGGAAGAACATGGAGTGGAGTTGCTCTGTCAGTGGTCATGGCTCAACGTGGCTATCTTGAGACAAAGCAAGTAGTGACTCCAGGTGAGAAGCACAGGAACACAACTTCATAACATTCTTATAAGAGACAGAGGAACTGTATAGACATACATGGAGAAAAGCAAGGTGGATCTAGATCTAAGGAAGGAAAACACAGAAGGGAGGGCAAAATTTCCAAGGCTCCTGACATGCACAAAGTGAGGAGCATGAGCAGTGGTCCTGGACCTCTTGGGTGAGTGGCATGCATGAGGCAGTGGTATCAGAGGAAGTACCCAACGGACCAGATTCCAAGTGCCTCCCTATACTCACATTTGACTGGGGGCAGGTCCTGACTGCTGGCTGCAACAGACAGGAAATACCAGTGTACTCACATCTGCTAGCCAAAGGCATGCACCCAGACACCATGCACCACTTACTCCCGACCTAGGCAGTGCCACCAGCAATCTGATAACTGTGTGCACCTGGCCACTACCCACTTCCCCAATTTAATGAGTGGTGGTGGTCACATGCCCATGTGTGCACCCACCACCTGCCCCCAGCCAGTGAGCAGCAGCAACTATGGAACCATGAGTGGGCACTCACCCACAACTAAAGCCCCCATCTGTCAAACAGTAGTGACCACATGACCATGCATGTGCCCATCTGTCACCTACCCTGCCCCTCCAACCCAGCAATTAGCAGCAACTGCTTGACCATGTGCACATCCATGCACTACCCATCCCCTCATCTGGCAAGCAACAGCAACCACACACTCACATGCTCACCCAGCCATCATCCACCCTCCTTGCTACCCTCCACCCCTACCCAAGGAGTGGCAATGACTGTGTTTCCACTTGCCTGACACACCTCCCACCCTACCTACTCTGCAACTGCCACCACCTACTCCTGCACCACTGGATCAACAACAGATGTTGTCTACTATACACCCAGCCCACATTCAACAACTCCACACAACCAGTGAACAGACACCCACACCCACACTGCCCTGTTACCCTACCTACCATGAGACAACTGGTATATGCCCCAGTGTTGCCAACCTAGTGACCAGAATAGCACACACACCCCACTTGTATGGATATATCAAAACAAAACAAAACAAAACAAAAAAATCAGGGTGAAGCAAACAAGTAATAAATACAATAACACCTTAATGTCTTGGAGACAACAGACAACATCAAATCACACAAAGCAGCAGGATAAAATGGCTCAAACAAGTGACCAAAATAAAGAGCCAGAAAACCTTCCTGAGGAAGAAATCTTAAGAGAACTGCTTTATAAAGAATTCAAAAGATTTATATTTAGGATCCTCCAAGAGATCAAGGGAAACACAAAATTCTAAAAGAATTCAGGAAAAC